AAACGTTGCGGCGAGGTCAACTCCCTTGATGCCTCTCCGCGGCAGGTCAATCCGGGTCTAACCCTCTGAACGGTCGGAAATGACAGTCCCTAGACATGCCGAGTCCGGTCACCCATCTCGCCATCTTTGAGGGTTACTCATAAGGCTCAGTGCGCCCAAAATCAGGGGTGCCCTGAGTCCCCCTAATTTTTGCTGCCTGGTCATACGAGACTACCATCAAAACACGGATTTGTCCCTGAGCCTGAGTTCCAAAACTGCGGATCTCAGGCGGCGCACTGCTTGTGGCCGCCTGACAGTTAGCCCGGACCACTTCTCGACGCCCCCGTTGAGCCCCTAGCAACTTATGTCAGACGAAGCGGACGAGCTTCAGGGTGATAGCCCGTAAAGGACGCCCACGTCGGCGTTCAATTGTCTTATGTTTAAGTTTGTTATGAGTCCGGGGGCTAAGAAAATGCTTCTTGACTCTTCTGTTTCTTCTGGTTTTTGGTCCTGGCACAATCCTCTTTTTCTTCTGTCTTTGCCCTGAGAAGGGTGTCGACCCGCCAGTACGTCTAACGCGAACTCTCCGTCTAGCTCGCTTGAGCACGAATAACCATCTCTTCTTTCTTCCGAAAAAAAATCTACCCCTTTGACCTTTCTCTTCTCTTTTCTTTTCCTTTTCTTGGAACTCTCYCCTGCCTCGAATTGCCTCAAGGGCGCTCCATCCTCCATCATGGCTTTCCCTTTCCCTTTCGGGCTGGTTAGCGATAAAGCGGGCATGGGCCTGGGCCTAAACAGCTTTAACCTAGCCCCCGCCACTAGGTCCTTCCACTTAGATCCGTCTAGTTCTGCTATCATATATGCACCCCAGTCAAGTGCCTCAACCACTCTGTAAGGTCCCATCCATCTATTGGCAAGCTTTCCGGTCCAGGTCCTTTCCAGCGTTGCATCGTAGAGAAGGACCATATCTCCTACGCTCACCCTCTCTTTCCTGATTCGCACGTTCTTATCCCATCTCTCTTTACCCTTCTCCCTTTCCACTACCAGACGATCTGCCGCTGTCATGAGGTCATCTTCCAAACCGTAGGCTATTTGTCTCGTTCAGGCAGCTAAGAGTTCCTCTCTGGACATCTCTTCCGCTCAGTCGATGGTCGTCCAGCTGTCGACGTGAAATTCTATGGGAAGCGGACAATGTTGTCCAAACCACAGGGTGTACGGTGGGTATCCGGTACTAGCCCGGACCGTGACGTTGTCCGTCCATATCGCGTATCGAAAATATCGTGGTCAATCACTGTCCTTACCCTTGCACCACTTGGACAGTGACGCTATCAGAGTCTGGTGTCCCCTCTCTACTGGGGAGTTCGACTGTGGGTGATAGGCGGTGGCTATCGAAACTCTCGCACCGGCTCTCCTAAACATGCTCTGAACCTCGTCGGCTAGGAATTCCGCCTCTCTGTCCATCACTATCTTGCAGACACAACCATACCTAGATAAGTACTCTAGGAAAAAGTTCTTTACTTCCTTTGCCGCCTTACTCCTGATAGGTCTACCGTCCATGAACCCAGTGAAATCGTCTCGTATGTTCACGACGTAGTTCATATTGCCTACCCCTCTCGGCATTTTCACTAGATCGATGTGTACCTTCTCTCCTGGTCTGGTCGGATAGGATGGATGAAGTGGCTCTTTGTATTTCACAAAAGCTCTCTTCTGACACTCTTCGCATGTCATACAGTACCTCTCGACGTCCTTATACTGTCCTTCCCACTAGTACAGCCGGCGTATCTTTTCGTAGGTTCCTTTGACTCCCTGTGTCCTCCGACTAGCCCGTCGTGAAGTCCCGCAACTATCGTCTGTTTCTCCTCAGGATCACAGACTACTCGTAAGGGCATTCCCGACCCTACTGGCCTTCGGAAAAGGTGACCCGCTCTAAGGCAGTACTGGGCTGCTTGCCTCCGGATTTTTGAATCTTGACTCTCCTCTCCCGTCAGGTGTAGTCCGATCATTCGGTACTTGCCCTTGTAAAGATTAACTAGAAATCTCTTGGCGCGCCTCGGCTCTGCCATTGTTAGAGCCCCAGCTACTATCGGACGCTCGAGAGGGATGCGTGAAAGTCCATCTGCCACGACATTTTTCGTACCAGATACTCTCTCAACCGTGTAATAGTATAGCCGAATCCGTATTAACCATCGAGCGATGGTCGGGTCCGTCAGACTAAAGTCCTTCTGGAGGACAGAGGCAACCGCAGTAGGGTCTACTCTCAAGATGAACCGTCGCCCATAGATATAGTGTCTGAAGAACAGCTAACACTTCCTTCTTGAATTGACTGTAGTTACGCTCAACCGTATTAAGTGTCCTACTCTCAAATCTTAATGGTCTTTCCTTCCCTCCAGCGTCCTTCTGAGACAGCAAACCACCCACTGAACATGGTCCAGCATCCGTGGATACTATGAAGGGTCTCTTGGTCTCATCGTCAAAGAATGGCACACCCAACACGCGTCCTCCYTCCTTAAATTCGTCTTTAAGTTCTTGCATAGCAAGTTCCTGCGAAAAATTCCAATAAAAGTTTTCAGTCTTTCGAAGGAGTAACCTCAACGGCTCAGCCTTCTCCGCATACCCCCGTATGAATATACGCCAGTAACCGACCACTCCTAGAAATTGCCGGACCTCGGTTGGGCTATATAACGGTGAGGGTCAGTTCAGAAGTTTGTCTAACTTCGCCGGATCTGCTCGGCGTCCTCTCGAGTCATAGATAAAACCCAAGATCTTAATAGTCGAGACGGCCCATCGGCTCTTGGTTCCGTTGAATGTTAAATTCGCATCGTCCAGCTGCTTGAGTACCGCGCAAATATCTGTTAGGTGCTGCTCGACGAATCTTCTAACTCCAGGTGTAACCTCTGTCTCATCCCTGTCTACTGACCCTTTTATAGGAAAGTCATCCAGAAAAACTTCAACCTTATAAGGGATGAAGTCCTTGAGGACGGCTACCATGGCTCTCTGAAAAACGGCTACCCCATTAGTCCAACCCATAGGGACAACCATCATTTGAATTAGTCTCAATGGTGTATGCATAGCCGTGAGGTGTCTGTCCCTAGGGTCAAGCGGTACCTCATCATAGCTCTAGAACAGATCACAGACCGAATAGATCGACCTACCTGCTGTGCCTTCTGCCAGTAAATCGGCGTGTGGCACGAAGCCCACGTCTCGTATCGTCACCGCGTTGACCTTCTGAAGGTCCTGGATCCATCGAATCTTGCCATTCGGCTTTCGTAGGAAGAACCATCGATTTGCATAAGCGCTATCAGACGGCTCCGCAACATGGGAAACCATCTTTTCTTTCAGGAAGGCGATAACTTCTTCCTTCTCCTTCTGGGCGTATTTCCATCCCGCGTCGTTCCAGGGAACATGTGGT